GGAACCTCAGCTGGCTCCTGTCCTCTGTAACGTGGCTTCTCACAGCAACCACGTACTGCGAGTCCTGGCGCAGGGGAGAGGGGCTGTGCTGGGTGCTGCTGCAGCCCCCCGACCCCGAATACACTCAGAGAGGCAGCCCCTTGCCCACCCTCCAGAAACAACCCCCCAAACACACACCTGCGCTCCGAGGGTAACTGCACAGCCAAACACACACAGGCCTGCCCAGACTACAACCACATGCATGACCCCTAGCCAACGTGCCCTCTCATTTTTTCCATCCCCGTGCAGAATAACTGTTGTTCCGTCACGTATCGATGTGCACCATCAGAGAGGCAGCCCCTTGCCCACCCTCCAGAAACAACCCCCCAAACACACACCTGCGCTCCGAGGGTAACTGCACAGCCAAACACACACAGGCCTGCCCAGACTACAACCACATGCATGACCCCTAGCCAACGTGCCCTCTCATTTTTTCCATCCCCGTGCAGAATAACTGTTGTTCCGTCACGTATCGATGTGCACCACCAGTAGAAACACAGGCAGCCGGCTGGTGCCAGCGGGGGGCGCTCTGCTAGCCAGCCAGGCGGCATTTGAATGTCTCCTGGGCAGCGGGTGGCTATATTACAGCAGGGGTCTCAACTCACCGCCCGGCGGCCATCGGCAGCCCGAGCAGGGCCACAAACTCACAGCTGCTGGCACATGAGGCCCTATGATGCTGGGGGGGGGGTATAGCGTACCCGTCCCCCAAATCTAGCTCCTGCTCTGCCCCCGCCCCACCTCCTCCCGCCCCTGTTCTGCCCTGTCCCCCATCGCACCCCTTCCCTCAAGCCCCCTCCCCCGAGGGACACAGCCCCAGGGTTTCCTGGGGGCCTGGAGCAGGGTGGCAGCGGGGAGGGGGGGTCCCCCGTACTCACTGCAGCGGTGGGAGCTGCGGGGAGACGGAGGGACACGGCAGCCTCTGTCTGTTTTGCTCTGCTGCCAGCTCCCGGGCCAGCTGGGTGGCTCTGCCTCAGGGCGGCAGGAGGCAGAGCGCCCCGCCCTGGTGTGGGCTGGCCTGGGAGATGGTGGCGGAGTGGAGCAGGCTGCTGTGTGGCTCCCCTCCCCAGAGGCTCCTGCTGCTGTAGCGAGCGAGGGGGGCTTGACCCCTGCCACCAGCCCCCAGCCATCCCAGGGCCCCGCGGGCTAACCCGAGTATGGGGGAACCGCCAGTCCGTAGGATGTTTGGAGCAGCTGCCGCGGGGCCCCCCAAAACGCAGGGCCCAGGAAATCTGCGTCGAACTGCCCTACGGACAGGACAGCTCTGCACACACCTCCCCTAGGTCACAGGGACACGCCTGCCCTGGTGCACAGCTAGAGCAGCCTTCAACTTCCTGAAGGGGGGTTCCAGAGAGGCTGGAGAGAGGCTGTTCTCAGTAGTGACAGATGCAGAACAAGGAGCAATGGGCTCAGGTTGTGGTGGGAGAGGTCCAGGTTGGATATTAGGAAAAACTGTTTCCCTAGGAGGGTGGTGAAGCACTGGAATGGGTTCCCTAGGGACGTAGTGGAGTCTCCATCCCTAGAGGTGTTTAAGTCTCGGCTTGACAAAGCCCTGGCCGGGTTGATTTAGATGGGATTGGTCCTGCCTAGAGCAGGGGGCTGGATTTGACGACCTTCTGGGGTCTCTTCCAGTTCTATGATTCTATGATAAGGGGATGGTTTGATGAAATACAGGCAGTCCCCGACTTACGTGGATCCGCAGTTACGAACGGGGCTTTTCTAGCCCTGGAGGAGGCGGGCAGCGGGACTGCCCACACGCACCGCGGTCCCATCGCCCACGTCCTCCGGGGCGAGAAAAGCTGCTCCACGTCTCCCTGGTCTGCTGGAGGACGCGGGCGGTGGTCTAGCCCTGGAGGAGGCGGGCAGCGGGACTGCCCACACGCACCGCGGTCCCATCGCCCACGTCCTCCGGGGCGAGAAAAGCTGCTCCACGTCTCCCTGGTCTGCTGGAGGACGCGGGCGGTG